CAGCTTTCTAAGTAAGTGATCATGTCTTCCTTCTTGAGGTGCTCTTCTCTGTAGACTATTCACCAGCTTCCTTCCTGAGTCTGGCTGCTTCTTCTCAGTCTCTGTTGAAGATTTCCCTTTCGCCTCTACTTAACTTCGAGATGGCTGGGTCAGAGGGGTTGTTCTTCATGAGACTGGGTTCTCTCTTTCCATCTGCCAATTCCTCATTCTTCATTCCCAAGGCGACAAATGCCATCTGCCTCCTGAGGACTCTCAGATGTATATTTCCATTGTTCCCTCACCTCCGAGTCTTACACTCATGTCCATTGCCCCTGTGATGATTCATCAGATAGTTCACCGGCATCCCAAGCTTAACATTTGCCGAACTGAGCCCACAAATCCTCTCACCTCCCACCTCCATCTCCCACACACATTGTTCTTCCCTAAATTCCCCTTCTTGTATTAATTTGCCCAGTTGCTTAAGTCATATCCAAGGAGTTAAACTTGACTTCTCCTCTTCTTCCTCCTTCTCACTTAACTTTCATTTCAAATCCATTATCAAGACCCCTGGCTTCCATGTTCAAAATACATCTATAGTTCACCCCGCTTCTCTTCTATTATCCCACAACAAACCACCATTACTTCTAGTCTGGATTATGCAATAGCTTCCAAACTGGTCTCATTTTTATTCCCTCCCCCACACCTTTCACCACAGCAGCTGGGGTAATCTTTGCAAATGTACATCATGCCACTCTCTGCTCAAAACTCCTCTAGAATCTCTTAATTGCAACCAGGATAAAAGCCACATCTTTTAACACGGACTCCAGGGCCTTGTATAGTGTGACATTTTGTGTCATGCTGACCTTCCCCATGGGGATGGAGCCAAGCGATTGGCCAATGTATTTAATATGATGTCTCTAAAGAGCTTATAGTCTAGTTGGGGGCACAGATCTAATTCAAAGAAAGCTTTCCAATAAACAGCCATGCCAGATAGCAGCAGTTCAGATGCACGCAGAAAGCGGAGGGGGTCAAGGAGGCCTTGCAGGACAGCTGGATGGGAGGAGAACCACACCTGTCTTGCTCACCACTGCACACTTGGCATGCAGCACAATGCCTGGTGTACAATGGGAGTCAATACATATTTGCTGAACAAATGAATGACACATGCATGAATGAATGAATGACCTGATTTCTGCCCTATGGGAGCTCAAAGCCTGGTTGGGGAGGCTAACAAGTAAACATTTGGTCATGATACATGATGGCAGGGGTATGTACATGCAAGGTACTCTTTTTTAATCCTCACCTGAGGATATGTTTTTATTGATTTTTAGAGAGAGAGAGAGAATGAAACAATGATGTGAGAGAGAAACATGGGGCAGTTCCCTCCCACACGTGCCCTGACTGGGGATTGAACCCACAACCTAGGTATGTGTCCTGACTGGGAATCAAACCTGCAGCCTTTCTTGGTGTATGGGATGGTGCTCCAACTGACTGAGCCACTCGGGCAGGACCATTTAAGGTACTCTTTACCTTCAGGAGTTGTCACCTCTTCTTGGGGAGGGTTCAGGGAAGACTTTGGACAGGAAAGTGACACTTGGCTGGGACTTTAAGGATAATTAGGGATGAGTCTAGAGAGATGAGCAGAGACAGGCATCCCAGTTTGAAGAGCACTGAACTATAGTGCGGAGGAGAGCACTGAACAAACCAGCGTGTGATAAAGTGTCAAACTGTATGTCAGAGACCACAGAGCTTTGAGGGGTGAGAAAGTGGAGGTGACTGATCGTCAATGGTTGTTGGTGGGTGAAATGCAGGCTGGAATACTAAGGACAATTTTGGGCAGATTTGAGTCATTATTAGGCCTGGAATATAAAACTATGGCCAAAATGGAAGACCATTTATCTATATAAAAGCCTAAGTGACCGAACCACCAAACAACCAAACGACTGGTCGACTGGCCGCTATGATGTGCACGGACCATCAGGGGGCAGATGCTCAATGCAGGAGCTGCTCCCGGGTGGTCAGTGTGCTCCCATAGCCAACCTTCCATGGCCCCTCCCTGCCCAGCTGGCCAACCTCCCAAAGTCTCCCCCCCGCCCCCGGGCTGGCTTCCCAGATTGGCCCCAATGAGGGGGGTGGGGGCAGCCAGCCAACCTTTCGAAGCCCCTCCCCCAGCCAGCCGGCCCCCACAATAGGCCCCGATCACCAGCCAGGCCAAGGGACCCCACCCGTGCATGAATTTGTGCACCAGGCCTCTAGTATGCTAATAAAGATCATAATTAATATTAATTAGAAGATAGTCACTGATGATGTGGATCACTCAGGGGGAGCAGAAGCCTGGGGAGGAGAAGGTGTCAAGCATGCCAGCAGGCCACTCTGTCTGGCTCTGTCACTGTGGGAGGAAGGGCAGGAGGGCAGGGGAAGGACCCTCTGACTTACGTAGTCTGGATGTGAGGCTGCCTGCTTTGCCTTCTCTAGCTGCTGCTGCCCTCGCCCCTGGAGGAGGGCTGGCCTTGGGGAGGCCTCCTGCCTGCAGGGCTGTGGGTGCTCCAGGGCTGAGGTCTGTGAGGGTGAAAAACCTGGGTCTCACACATTTGCCCCTCCCTGCTTCTTCCCTGTCCAGATCCTGCAGGGGCAAGAAGTCTGGGATTTGGGGATAATGGGGCTGCAGGGCTGGGCAATTCAGAGTGAGTGTCTGACTGAGAATGTTCACCCAGGGGGCGCTGGGGACCAGAGGCACTCTGGGAAGTCTTGATAAATGGCAGGAAGCCAGAGCAGGTCAGCCTGAGAAGAATGGGAAGGACAGTGTGGTCCCCTTGTCGGTTTTAGAAAAAGAGCGTGGGGGTGATCTTGGTGTCTCTCTCTTTTACAAACAATAAGTTCACCTCTCCCATCCTGTTTACTGCCCACATGGCTCATCTTTGTGCTCTTAGGCATGATGGTGGAGGTCTAAAGTATCAATGTTAATAATAATAGCTAACCTTTACTGAGCCAACTAGTGTTCTAAGGCCTTTATTTAATTCATTTAATCTCTAAATAACTCAGAAGTAGGTACTTTTGTCATCCCCATTCTACAAACATGGAGACTGAGGCTCAGAGAGATGAAGCAATTTGCCCAAGGTCACACAGACACAAGGTTGCAGAGCCTGGATTTGAACCTGGCAATGTGGCTCCTGGAGCTCACTAGTTCTAGGTGTGGCCTTGGAAGGGAAGGGAAGGGAAGGGAAGGGAAGGGGAGAGAGTGCTATCGGGACCCACAAAACCAGTGAAGACTGTGGCCAGGAACTAGCTGCCAATGCTGCATTCAATGCCAGCTCCTCAGAGCCCCTGGACTGACTGTGAGGAAGAGTCTGGCTCTGTTGTATGGATGGAGGACACTGGCAAGCACCTTACGTTTTCAAAGCCTTTGTTTTCCCATCTGTATAATGGGAGAATAATTGCTAATCCATAAGGAGGAGTAAGTGAAGGAACATGTGCAAAGTACCTGAGCATCATAGTAGGTGCCTAATAAATGAGTTCCTTCATCCCTTCTCTCTTGAGTCAAGTTTGCTTCAAGCTCTGTTTAGTTATCTTTTCTACAAATATGTACTGAGGGCCTACGTGGTGCCAGATCTTCTGTTAATCCCTGGGAAATACATAGATGAAGGAAGAGGCTGGAGTGACTTGAGGTGGGGTGGGGTGGGGAAATGGCTCAGAGTGACCAGAAAGAAACAAAATGGATTTTTAAGAAACCCACGAGAACACGAGACCTGACAAATGCTCTCTTCAAACAATAGCCTCAGGAGGGCGCCTGGTGCGTCCAGAGATGCTGATGCTGTGCCAGACATTGATAGCAGCCCGGGGTGGGGGCTGGGGGCTGGGAGGGGTAAGGGGGTGGGGGCTGGGGGCTGGGAGTGGTAGGGGTGGTGGTGGTGGGGCTCTTCTGCAGGCCCGGCCAAGTGCATGCTGCACATCAGGAGGGCTGGAGCAGGAGACCTGCCCGAGTCACAGAGCTGCTTGGGGCAAGAGCAGGACCAGGAGCAGAAGGCAGAGCTTTTTATTTCGGAGCCTGAGGTCTTCCCTGTCGGTACCCAGGAGCACTCACTTCCTCCCTTTATCCTCTCGGCTGCACTGGAGATGGAGAATTCTTCTCCAAATCTGGTGTCATAGCTTATTTGAGATTTAGTTCAGAATAACTTTGGAGTGTTTTTCAAAGTTTTTATTTTATTGATGTGTGTGTGTGTGTGTGTGTGTGTGTGTGTGTGAGAGAGAGAGAGAGAGAGAGAGAGAGAGGTCGAATTGTTGCCCCACGCATTTATGCATTCTGTGGTTGATTCTTGTATGTGCCCTGACCCGGGATGGAATCAAATCCGAAACGTTGGCCTACCTGGAGGACGCTCTAATCAACTAAGCTACTGGCCCGCTGCTGGAGGATTTTGTAAACTAACCAAGCCCACTCAGTAGGAGGGAGCGTGGGTGTCCAGGCACCTGTCTGAGGGTCTGACTGGTCCTGGCCAGCCGCTCGTGGGAGCAGAGTGCACCGAGGTCACGCCAAGCACTGGGTGTCCATTGCATCTCTAAATGGACTTTGTACAGAGGACAAGGTCCGGCATTTTCTGGCTGGAAGAGGGGCTGAGGCTAATAGACGCCTGTATTTGGCCCGTGGACTAAAAAGAATCATTCAAAGAGTTGGGGGTGGCCTTCTGGAGCCTCTGTAACAGCTTGGAGCCCTCAGATAGGCGTGAAGGGCCTCTTAGAAGCGGGATTTACTCCTTTCTGAAGAAGTAGCTCAGGGGTTTTTCAGGAAGTCCTGGCGGCAGGCCTCCTGGACAAGGCTGTCCTGGGTGAGCTGAGGTTTGGTCCTGCTTGCAGGCAGGGCGATGGATTTGGTGATTCTCGAAGGACCTCGCTGGCATCAGGATTCTGGGCTCCTTCGTGGCCATGTTGAGGTGCCTGTGCGCTCCGGAGTGCGACCTTGAGTGTTCCTGAATGGCTGGTGGGAGGCGCGAGAGAGTGGCCTCGGATGGGTGTGTCCGGAGCACCGGCTGGCTCCCGGATGCGCCCGCTGCGCCCACTTGTGGCTCCCAGGCGCCTGTGGGAAGAACGGAGCCTCCGCCGCCTCCGCCAGGGACACAGCCCGAAAGGGAAAGGAGAAGGACAGCAGGCTGATGCCATGAGGGCGCCGTCTCCCGAGTGATGGCAGCGCGCGCTGCCTCGCCGCCGCCACCGCTCAGCCCCGGACTCCTGACGTCAGGGTAGTGGGTCCCCCCCTCCGCGCGGAGCCCGCGCAGCCGGAGAGCGAGCTGAGCGCGCCGCAGAGCCCGGGCGCCCCACCTGCGAGCCAGCCCCGCCGAGCCCCCGAGCCGAGCTGGGGCAGAGTCGCCGAGCCCGCGCCAGAAGCCGCCTCCCCACCCACGCTCCCGGGCCACCTGCCGGACCCAGAGGGCGCCTGGCTGGCCCGGGGCGCCCCGCCATGCGCGCTGGGCTCCGCGCCTCTCCGGAGCAGCCCTCGCGCGGTGAGCACCGGCGCCTGTGCTGGGGCGACTCTCCCTGAAGTAGTTGGGCGCCCGGAGCGGGGGTCGCCACGTCGGGGGTGAGGCCAGGACCCGTGGAGTCGGCCCCCGAGTTCGGGGAGCGGGGCCGCCCGCGCCGCCCCACCATTACCTCCTCGGGGGGCAAGGAGGAGCTGGTGGCGGCCGCTTCCCAGCAGTGGCAGCGGCGGCGGCGCGCCTGCCTGGCGGCCGTCGGCGTGCTCCTGGCCATGGCCCTGGGGCTGCTCATCGCGGTGCCGCTGCTGCTGCAGGCGGCCACCCCCGGCGCGGCGCACTACGAGATGATGGGCACCTGCCGCATGATCTGCGACCCGTACAGCGCGGCCCCCGGTGGAGGCCCCGCGGGCGCCAAGGCTCCGCCGCCTGGACCCAGCACCGCCGCCCTGGAAGTCATGCAAGACCTGAGCGCCAACCCTCCGCCCCCTTTCATCCAGGGACCCAAGGGCGACCCGGGGCGACCGGGCAAGCCAGGGCCGCGGGGTCCCCCTGGAGAGCCGGGCCCGCCTGGACCCAGGGGTCCCCCGGGGGAGAAGGGCGACTCCGGGCGGCCCGGGCTGCCAGGGCTGCAGCTGACAGCGGGAGCGGCTGGAGGAGACGGGGTAGTGGGTGGCGGAACCCGGGGCGGCGGCGACTCTGAGGGCGAAGTGACCGGTGCGCTTAGCGCCGCCTTCAGTGGCCCCAAGATCGCTTTCTACGTGGGTCTCAAGAGCCCCCACGAAGGCTACGAGGTGCTCAAGTTCGACGACGTGGTCACCAACCTCGGCAATCACTACGACCCCACCACCGGCAAGTTCAGCTGCCAGGTGCGCGGCATCTACTTCTTCACCTACCACATCCTGATGCGCGGCGGCGACGGCACCAGCATGTGGGCGGACCTCTGCAAGAACGGGCAGGTCAGTGACCCACCCCACCCCTCCCGCCGCTCCCGCCGCTCCCGCAGACCCCGCGTCCCAGCTGCTGGTTAGCCAACCTCTTTCCTCCCCGCTGGCGAGCGCGCCCGGAATCCCGCTCCCCAAAGCTCCCTGGTCGCGTTTATCCCCGCGTAACGGAGGTTGTGCCGGGAGAGCCCAGACCCCGCCGCCCGAACCGCACTCCCTGGCTAGGTGCGCGCCTCGCCCGCCCTCCCCCCCGGCCCCCAGGGCTCCTCGGAAGCCTCTTCCTTCTTTAGCTGCCCCTGTGCAGGGCGCTCTCGCCCCTCACTCCCCTTTCCTCTGGTCCTGGCCCGGGTTTCCACCCTCCGCGCTGGACGGGTGATCAGAAGTCCCATCTCTCCTCCCTCCCGGACTTGCGGGAAGGAATTGGCTAAATTGGCGAGAGAAGGTGGAGCCTGGGTGGGAGCGTGGACCCCGGAGCCAGAGCCTCGGACAGACGGCCGACCAGGGGGCGGGCCGGGTGGAGGCCGGGAGGGGCCTGGGCAGGCTGCCCCGACCCGACCGACAGCTCCGCGGCTCGCCCCCAGGTCCGGGCCAGCGCCATCGCGCAGGACGCGGACCAGAACTACGACTACGCCAGCAACAGCGTGGTGCTGCACCTGGAGGCGGGCGACGAGGTGTACGTGAAGCTGGACGGCGGGAAGGCGCACGGAGGCAACAACAACAAGTACAGCACGTTCTCCGGCTTCCTCCTCTACCCTGACTAGGGGCACTGGGGCTGTGCGCGGGCTTCCCCCGCCCTGGGCCCAGTGCGGGCGCGCTGCTCCCTGGCAAGGACCCCTCGCGTTTCCTGACACTTCTTGACATCGTTGGAAAAGACACGTTCCCGCTACCCTCCCTGCCCCGCTCCCATCCCCAGTGTGTCTGCAACTCACTATGCTCTGGGCAGTGCTCCTGGCCCCTGGCCCCCATCTGGGGAGGGAGAGGGCGACGCCAACGTGGTGAGATGAGCCTGAACTTGAACCCCAAAGGCATGGACAGCAGCGGTGGCGGTGGCAGCACAGTTTGCAAACCTGATTGGACCGGACAGGCTGGGCGGAACTGCCCTCTTTCAGTCTCCCTCCTTCTCCGAGTGCCCGGAGGCCCAGCCTTCCAACCCTGGCCGGTGAGGTAGGCCACAGTGCGCACGAGCTCCCTGGGGAATCCAATCCTCCTGCAAGTTTCCCTGTCCATCAGTCAAAACCCCACTGCCGCACAATCCCAGCAAACGGAAATTCGCCTCTCCACCATACGCCTGACTCAGCTCAGACCCACTGCGACGCATTAAATTATGTTTCTAGACCACGGGCTCCGATGTTTTTGTCAGGGTGGCCCCCAGACCAGTCCTCCAGATGTCCACCTTGACATGAAGACATTAACTGGGCCCGGAAGAGCCCCATCTACGCCTGCTTGTCAGCCACTGCCCTGTCCCTGCCACCCGAGATGGGCGAAAAGATGTGGGGAGAGATGAGAGAGCGTCCCACCCTTCGGAGAGATAATATTTCTCCCCTGGGCTGCATCCCTGAACTGGAGGGGCCCAGAGGAGATGCGGGAGAGAGAATTAGATAGAGGCGGGCAGGAGAGGAGTGGCTGAGTCTCCAAGTTCCCAGCCTTGTGGGAGGACATCAAAGAGCAGGGGTTTCTGGAGAAGGGAGAGGTAGGGGGGGCAAATTGGAGGCAGGAATGAGGCACTTGCCAGCAGGTGGTCTCTGAGTTGGTGGTCCCTATAAAGAAGTGCAGAAGTCCCCCCGCAGAAACCCACCCACCCAGGCATAAAGTGCTCAGCACCCGTCCATTTGCCCACACCACCGGCTAGGGCCACAACTCTTATAAGAGCTGGCAAACAGGCAATCTGGGGATCATCCAGCTCCCCGAATTCACCCGGAACTGAGTGGGAAGAGATATACACTATCCCTGGGGGAGGGACCCCCTTTCCGGGACCCTCCCTTCCCATTTGCAGGGTGCCATTATCTGAGCCCCAGTATGTGTGCTCTCTTCTCAGTACTTCCCATCCCATCCCGCACACACAAGGTAGGGAAACAGCCAACATGACTTTGATTTTTTTAATTTACTTTTTTGTTTTGTTTTTAGACCATTGAATTCCAATAAGTAATAAATTATCTACAAAATAACCAGTTAACAACCTGTTAGTACTTACTGAGTTTGTTTTGACCAGTTGTTTGAAGAGAAATGTGTGCACACGGAGGCAACCCCAGAGTGTGTGTACCTGTGTAAAGCTGGAGGCGCACACACCACACACACACACACACACACACACCATGTGGATATACTGTGGTTGTCATCACTAGCCCGTGTTATACATGTGCACACACACATGTATTCATAGGTCAATGTGGGTGACAATGTTCATGGCTGTATGTCTGCCCCCCAATCACATTGGGCTCAACTTTAGTTCCTGGAGGACACTAAAGCTGTGATTCCCCTTTAAAGACAATTATACCCCTGCTTCAAGTCCCGTTGCTGTGGCTATTCCTCTTGATGCTCTTATTTTACTTGAATGTCTTATTGTCATTAACTGGAGTATTAGCAATGATTGCATCTGCTTTCAGTCCAGGAATAAAGTTCTGAAAGACAGCAAGGCAGAAAACAAATCATATATATATTCCCCAGTTCCAGACTGAAACTGAACCCCAATTCCTCAACTGACCCCACCCCTGCTGGCTGAGGAGCCCAAGCCCAGCTGAGCCCAGGAACTGGGGAGGGCAGAGTCGGGCCCATCTACAGTTGCATAGCATACATTTCTGATTCCTTGTCGATTGTATCATTCAGAAATGCGATTAAAAGCAAATGTCTGAGACCCAAATGAAGTCTAATTGCTATGGATCTGCAATCCCCAGCGGGGCCCTAATTCTTTTTGACTTATCCGTCCCCTTCTCCGATGAGACGGAGCTTAGACACAAAGCCCTCGGTTTAAATTTCAAAAATTAAAATTGACATGCAGCAGTGGCTTTCCCAGGAGTGGGAGGAATTTCTAAGGAGGTGCCAGCACCCAGCCTCATCCTCTGCATTAAGAAGCAATTTGTACTTCTAACAAAACCCTTACCACTCCCCTTTGGTGGAAGGGCAGTAGGAACGCCTTGCCCAGATCTGGCTGTTCATAAAACTTAGACACATTTGAGTCTGAGATTCCTCCATCGATATTCCCCAGTGCAGCTGGGCTTCTTGCAATTCTAATGCCCAGGCTGCCGGGAGGTGCTGTCAGCTGCTAAGAGGAGATGGATTGATGAGGCAGCGGTGGGAGGCAGGGCCAGGTGAGGAGCAATCTCCTGCTGTCTGCACACTCTGCCTGTCCCAGGCCCCTCGTGGCCCCCAAGGGTCCCGATCCCTGTTCTTTCTGGAGGACTCCCTGAGAAGGAGGCAGGAGGGAGGGGAGACCAGGCCTCCCACCCCTGCCACTTGTGCTGCCATCATCCTGGGAGGGCATGTGGAATACAAGAAACCCTCTGCCCCAGACATTTATCATTCTTGCCTCTAGTTGAGTAAGCAGCTATTATCAATTCTACTTGTAAAGGATTGTTTAAATGTCCTAATTGCTTTCAGGTCCATTTTCTCACTGTGTTCTTGGGTTGGGATTACCATGCTGGCATTCCGGGGGAAGTAGGAAAGGTATTGTTCTGGCCTTGTGGGAGGTGGGGAAATCAGGGTTCAGAGAGGTCCAGTGACTGGCCCATGTTCACGAAGCTTATAAGAGTCTGAGCCTGGACTTGAACTCAGACCTCCAGGCCGGGAGCGCACCTGACTGCACAGATGAGGTACATCCACCTCCCGGAATTCCTGAGCCTTTGAGAGGAGAGCAGATGGGTGGGATAGACTTCTCACCTTCCTCTCCGTAGGGGATCTCAGCAGGCTCTGCAGGGCCAGAGGACAAGCACCAGCCCTGATCTTTGGCCCAGGATGCTCCCAGGGGACACTCACTCCTGAAGAATTGGGCTGAATGTCCCGGCCTTGGGGTCAGAGTTGATGACCCAGCAGGACCCTTAGGGCACAAACTCCAAAGGAAGCATTTGGACCTGTCTTTCTCCACCGGCAACCCCTTCTCCTTAGGCTCACTGACCACCTTCTCCTGTATCAGCTCTCCCTTCGCCCTCTTGGGATGGGGAGGGGATGTCTTGCAGGTGCAGAGGGTTTAGCTGAAGTGAGCATGGCTGCTCCTTTTTGGCCAAAGGCCCTTTCTTCATTCCCACGGTCTGCTTCTATGCGACCAGTTATTTTCAGGGCCGCCTGTGTGCATGAGATACACACCTGGCCCCGGAAAGTCGGATAGAAGTTATGCCTCTGCTACATTTTCCTCTTATCTGGGTGAGCAGATGGCTCTGCTGGGCAGCCAAGACAGAACACCAAGGCCTCCCTCTGCATTAAGCCTGATGACACCATGGAGGGACCACAGTGTGTATTGTGGAGACCAGTTGCTCCACAGTCCACGGATTCTATTGGGCAAACACTTTTCAGCACTCACACCCAATATGTCTTCGACTGATGAATCATTTATGTATCCTGTCAATTCATACCTTAAAAAATTCTCTTTTTTTGTATTTATATTCATCAGAGGATCTGCACGTTCGAGTCAGTATCTATATTCCAGCTGGCTGACCACGTTTGGAGACGGGTCTCCTCTCATGGGAATAAAAAGAAACAAGGGTTCGTTCCTGTGTTTCCCTTCAACTTGCCATTTTCCCAGAATCTTACGCAAGAAAATATGTTCTTTCATGAGTCACAGCAAGACTTTGCACTTTAACTCTCAGACTGCACAGTTCCAATCCATATTTTAAGTATTAGTGATGCTTGACTTTCTCTCCTTTTTAGATTAAAAATAAATAAAATGAAAGTCTCAGTATTCCCTTCTTAAACCTGATTTTGAGGCTCTGATGTTGGCACTGGCACCTCCTAGAATCAAGATGGGCTGGGGCGCAGCACAGGGTCCCTCCGACTGCTGTAAGGATGGAGCTGGCAGCTGGAAGTGGGGGATTTTGGAGGAATGTTCTGCTATCTGTTCCTGCTGCATTCTAATGAATGAGAGCACTCCCCAAAGGAGCGTGCATCATAGCAGCAATTGCAGAAAATTATGTGAGCAGAGGTTTTTATAAACACATTTTATTGTAATAATTTCAAAACTAAATAGAAGAGGGTAGTAAGCCCATGTGCCTATCACTCGGCGTTGACACTGACCGAACCATGGTCAATCAGACAGAATTACAGCTTGTGTTGATTAAGACCTTAGGATGCATCAGGAATTGGCATGAGGGCACGATTGCATTCTCACAACACTCCTGAGAAGTAAGTATTGCTATTAATCCCACTTTACAGATGAGGAAACAGAGGCTCAGAGAGGTGAAATGACTTGCTCAAGGTCAGGGCCAAGGTCTTTCTGAGTCCAGAGCCCAAGCTCTTTCAGTAATATGGCCAGGACAGGGAGGTGAGACCTTGGAGACATCACATTAAGGGTCAGTAATACGACCAGCCTCCCTGTCAAGCACTCTGAAGGTGGAGCCCGTGCCAAAGCCTTTATGTAGAGGCCTCCGAAGCGTCCGCTCTCTCCTAGTACTGTAATCAGGCTCTCTCCTGGAGTCCTCACTCTCCCGCTTCTTACAGCTCCACACACCAGTCATGCTGGTCCCTCTACTGGGATCCTCTCCTCTGGGTGAGCTCCTGCCCTTACTTCAGGGCTCAGCTGGCACATCACTTCAGTAGCCCCCAGCCTTCACCCTGGTGCCCTGGGTTTCCTCTTCTCCCCTTCCCCGAAGGCCCATAGAACCCTGATCTTCTCTCCCATGATGCCTGTCTCACTATAATCACACGTCTGGTTGTCTGTCTTCCCATGGACTGTAGGCTTCACAGGGCAGACGCAGCATCTGTGTGGGTCACCACTGAATGCCCTGCCCCTTGAAGTTGGAATGGTGTCTGGTACACAGAAGATGCTTAATACACATTTGTGAAATGGATGGATGGATGGACGGACGGATAGGGCAATGCTGGAGATCCTAACAGGGTAGATCTTAGAAAGTTTTCCACTCACGTGTCTGACTTTATTATTTTTTTTATTTTAAAAATATATTTTTATTGATTTCAGAGAGGAAGGGAGAGGTAGAGAGAGATAGAAACATCAATGATGAGTGAGCATCACTGATCAGCTGCCTCCTGCACACCCTGCACTGGGGATTGAGCCCATAACCCGGGCACATGCCCTGACCAGGAATCAAACCATGACCTCCTGCTTCATAGGTTGATGTTCAACCACTGAGCCACGTCAGTCGTGTGGGTGTCTGACTTTATAGTGGGATGGGGGACGGGGATCTTCTTATCGAGCTGAATACTGCTCTTAACCAATGGGCCCCTTGGCGCCTCCACCCCTGGCCCTGAGTGTAAGGTTTAGGTGGATGGGGAAGACAGTGTGCAAAGGAGCATTTATCTCAATGCTCAAGGTGCTTGTTACCCCTCCAGAAATCAGCAGGATGACATGAGCTATGGCCACTGCCACCTGCGCTGACGTAGGGCCTCCAGATGTCCCTCAGTTTCCTGGGCCGCTTGGCAGTAGCCTCACTTCCAGTGGGGCCCCTCAGTTGGTGTGTTTGCCATCCAGATTCTTTTATTTCCCTCCAATGAATAACACATTTTGAAAAATGGTTGATGTGATATGCACTTGCAAAAAATGTGAACGAATTATAGAGAGATACGAGACAGAGAGTGAGCATCCCCTCCCTCCTTACGCAATCTCCTTCCCCAGAAATAATAAAGAACATTGCACTCGCAACACTGTTCTGCACCGGCTTTTTCCTGGAATGAGCCTCTTGAGCAAGCCTCCTTTACCGAGGTGCACGCCACTGCACCGCCGGCCGCGAACCTCAGTGGGTTGGACCACCTGGGAGCTAATCTGACGTTCCTGCTCCTGCAGAGGAACAGCCTCTGCAAACTGCCCTCATGTGGGAAAACCCCACCTTACTTTCAAACCATGTAAACACTGTCTTCATCCAGTTTACAGGCTACTCGGTGCTTCCCTTCCTTCAGTTCTCGTCGTCTGCCTCTTGGTTATGTTATCTACGTCAGCAGCCTGGTTCCTGGGACTGAGTGAATTAAGGAAAAAGATCAACTCCAGTCAGCCCAGTTTTGTTCCTGGTGCGGGGGGAGAAGGAAGGGAGTCCTGGCTGTGTATGTGTGAGTATGTGTGCGCATGTGAGTGTGAGCGTGCATGTGTATGTGTGTGTGTGGGGGGGTGGGGGGGCATGC